CCCGATGCACTCTTATTCGCGGATCTTTGTTAATTAAAATCTCGGTAACTATTGCGAATCTAGCAAAATGGTATAGGACTTTTCACCTCAGTTTTATTCCTTCTACCTGTCTACGAGAGATGTTAAACCAATTCTGGGACACCCTGTATATGCGATTGTGTCTTCTAAAAGGAAAGCAGCCTGAGTGTAGAAATAGCTATAAACTTAAGGGCCTTCTACAATGGGATACTAGTAATAAATCAGAAGTCAGAAGCAAAAAATTGATCAATCACACTCAAATCACAGAAGAATAATCGATTGTGATTAGTCAATTTCTTGCTTCTGACTTATGATTTATTACTAATATCTTATTGTAGAAAGCCCCTTAAACATAAGATAAATTTCAGCCGGTTGAAATTTTGTCGTACGGAAAAATCTGTGCATATACAAGTAGTTGCTACGAAAAGTTGTGTCATCTCAATTCTACTTGATCTATGGTCAGTGCAAAATTAATATATATTTGCATATCTCATTACAATCTCCATACAATAACTAGTCCACACCATTGCATGATTGAACATAGAAAAGTATTATTTTTCCAAATATTGCTCATTCTTATAAATAATATTTATTTGTTTAATTCTATATATAATTCTATATATAATTCTAAGTATAGGTTAGTTAATTTTTTCTTTATTGTTCATATTATTATATTGTTATTTCTATATAACTTTCCTTACATAAGTTTTATATCTTATAAAATGTTTCTATACTGATTTCTTATATTTAAAGTGAACTAAAAATGAAATAAAATTATCTTGGCTAACCTGAAATTTCTCTTTTTATTTTCTTCTAAAAATCATTTTTGATTGGTCAAAATATATCTTATATTTATTGTTAAGTACAGATGGCTATTCAATGATTGGTTGAATTATTCTATACGCTTATTCATTGGCTAATTCTTACGTTACGTCGTATGCTTACTGTAAAAATTTTTTTTTTTATTAAATATTTTGCCTTCAGCTAATCTAGGCTATTAAGACACATCTATTGTCGAAGTCACTTGAATTTTTATACTTTTTTCATGGGAGGGTTGTGCAGTACACTACTACCACGCGATACACGGCCTTCTTTCACAGTGGGCGTGCCAAATGATGTCCAGACACTTGACTACAAACAGTTTTATCATAAGAGACTAATTTCAGAAATGTTGCACGTAAAAATGCAGAAACACAGCATTAATTTAATGAAGGACACAAATATGACATTCTATATATACTCCGCTTATCCAGAAACTTAGTATTTAATCTATCTCATCCCCTTTCTTTCCTTCTCCTTACACCTATCCTTTCCCTTCCTTTGGTTTCTCCTACCTTGTTTTTCTCGCATTTTCGTTTCATCTGTTATGCNAGATGTTTGTGTTTGTTTGCGCTTCCTCGTGTTGCTGTGTGAGAGAATTCAACGGTTTTGTGTTTAATTTGCTATTTACTCAGTAAGTACCTTTGTTTTGACTTTTTATTGACTTCTTCCTGTACCGGTTTTTTAATTTGACTTCTTGTTCCTGACACACGTAATATTTCCATTCNTTTTAATATTTTTGACTTAATGACATTTTTATCTCCCTTCTCTGTTTGGACAATTCTTACATTTTCATTAACAGTACCATTTATACAAAAATATGTTTTTATTTTTTATTTTTTATTTGTATTATCTTATTCTCTTGACGAATTTCACAATAATCCCCTTTCTATCTCTTTCAAGCAAATTCGATGCACAGACAAATTGATTTACCAACTTGTTTGTTTGTTGCTTTATCGACTTGACTTCTCTCACATGCTGACAGTTGGTTGCGTATTTTGTGGGTTTCCCTTTATAAGTAAGTAGCTTGCTATATATTTTCACTTTTTTCTTTATGTATTTTTATATATCTTGTCAAATGCTTNGGATGTTTTTTATAACTTCTGTATATTTCTTTATATTTTTTGTAATTTTATTTTTTACTTACTGTTTATATATTTTATATTTTCTCTTTGTTTTACATCCAGTGGCTGATAATGATCTAAAATAATAAAGTTTGAAACGTTCCACTCCTGATCTACAAGTTTTTTTACTGACTACCACCAACCGTAGCTACTAAGGCTGTGAAGGTCTATTTTACTTAATTTTGAAAATAAAAACGTTGTTAATGGATGGTCCAAAGCTTCTTTTTTCGTTTGATGGCTCTGAAAGAATCTCTGCCACATGGCCAAGAATCGCGTTGACAATATTTTGACGCTCTTGTTCCGCGGGATTGTTTCTTCTTATATTACATGAAGCACAATTACGCGGAAAACCGGAACGATATAGTGACAAATAGATATTTGTATTTATTAAAAAAAATTGATTTCTCTTAATTCACTGCAATTTTTATTAATATGCTTATTTTTTCAGTTTATCTATTGAATACAAACATTTTGATCAATAAATATTGTTAAAAATTGATATTTTATAATTTTCTGTTACGCTTTTCCGTACAATATATGCTCCATGTAATATAAGATAATTAAAACAGACGGAACGGAACGCGCGGAAACACAGAAATCTAGTAAAGTCTATATTTTTCTAGTAAAGTCTAGTTACTTTTGACTTCCGCGTTTCCGCGCTTCATGTACTGGCACCCTTACGATCTTAAGTAATATGTGTGATGGCCTTTATTGTAGACAACTAAGGCTGCTTTCCTTTTAGCAACCCTGGCTAGTACGGTGCCGACCTGAAGCTCAATGTTACGGTGCAGACAATATAGTAGCCTCTCTCTCCAGCTGCTTTGTGCGCATGCGGTGAACATTCAAGCACGCTTGCGCATTTCTCTTTCTCGCGTTCTTTCTCTCACTTTCTAATGCTTTGTCTCGCTCGCACTCACTTGGTAAATGCGCCTGCGCATGATGACGCTCGACCATCTATGCCCATATTTGGACTTCGTGCGTCTCCCTTTCTCGGGCTTCGTGCCTCTCATTGCGAAGATACGCGACTAGCCACGGCTGCCTTTTAGGCATAGACTTATATAAGGCGATTTTTGGCGATCGTATGGTACATGTACCAAAGTGTACCAAACTATAATTTGAAGTCACTCGAACTATAGTTTGGTACACTTTGTTATATGTACCATACGATCGCCAAAAATCGCCTATAATAGACGGAACATTCGTGTAAAAGGAGCTTCGTTAAAAGAGACAGAAATAGTCGTGGAGTAATTCTCTTCTTTTCTAGCAGTGAGTTGATTGGTGACCGCGGTAGGCCAAGAGCAACGAAGATAGAGTTCGAGTCAGTTGAGAGAAAGTGATAGTGAAAGGTGATAGGATAGACTTGTGAGATGATTGGTCCCCCACCATTTTATTGTAAGAGAGAGATACAACTACTCCAGCACTATCTCTATCCTTTAATGTTGTTCTCAACTTCGTCATATAAATGTTCCGTCTATTATATAAGTCTATGCTTTTAGGAGACACAGGTCTAGTTTCCACCGAAACCCTCAATTCGGTTTCACTCCGGTACTGATCAAATTTAGTGTTCCGTTTCCATTGGAAGTAGAGTAC